AAGAAGAAGAAGAAGAAGAAGAAGAAGAAGAAGAAGAAGAAGAAGAAATTGAGACAGGAGGAAGAAGGAAAGGAAGAAGAAGGAAACTTAGGACAGGAGGAGAGGAGGAAGAGGAGGAGGAGATGAAATTGAAACACAGGAGGAAGAAGGAGGAAAGTTAGAGGAGGAGGAGGAGGAAGAGGAAGAGGGAGAGGAGGAGGAGAAAGCTGGCTGGGGAATTCTGGGAGTTGAAGTCTGTCAGGCTCAAAGGGGCCAAGGTTGGAGACCCCTGCGCTGAAGGACAGCTCAAGTTCACAGACCGAAGGGGGTGGGAGACTTACTCCTCTCGTGCGTGAAGGTGTTCCAGTCCTCCTGGGAGTCTTTCTGCTTCTTTAAGACCACCAACTTGCCCCCTTCCACGTCCACACTTAAGGTGTACTTTTGTGACTTCCCGATTTTGGTCAGGTCGCCCAAGGTCAGGTCCAGCTTCACCTGAAAGCAGGCGTGGGTGTGAGACACTTTTCTGATACACAAGGTTGTACATGTTTGGTGGGACAGAGGACCACAAGGCAAGGGTAGGTCTATGAAGGAAGAGACCAGCAGCCCCCAACTTTCCGCTTCTTCCTTCTTCTGCTTTTGGTTGCACGCAAGGAAAGCAGCTAAAGTCTGTCTTTCTCTCCCCCAAACTCCACCAGAAATGAGTCTTTGGGGACCCCGCAAGGCCTCCTGCTCCAAGAGGCTCATTTCTGGCGGAGTTGGGGGGAGAAAAAGAAAGACTTCTGCGGCTTCTGCTGCTTTCCTTGCATGAAGCCAAAAGTCTCTCTCTCTCTCTCTCTCTCTCTCTCTCTCTCCCCCTGAGAACGGAGCTGGAGACGGGATCCTGCCATCCCAAGATCAATCGATCGGTCGGAAAACGGGGTGGGGGATTTTCCTGAAGACTTTTGGGGGGATTTTCCCAGGGTCTCTGGTCCGCGGGATTTAAAAGGAAGAGTTTGGTGGTCCCTGAGGTCTAAAAGGTGGGTGACCCCTGATCTATCCAAGGCTCCATAAGAGGAAGCTCAATTTCCATCCAGATAACATCTGGCTGTCACATGTCTCTTATTGATATTAAGATTATGATAATCATTATTTTGTTGCTTTGCACATACACTGAGTGCTTCTGCATCGGAGACAAATTCCTTGTGTGCCTAATCACAACCACTTGATCAAATAAAGTATTCCACTCCATTCCATCCCGTCCCATTCTAATCCAATCCAATCCAGCCTCCGGATTTCCTCAGGAAGACATGTTTAAATATTGATCTGTATTTTACAGGCTTCAGGGTTTTTTTAAAAAAAGAAAACAGATTCACATGGTTGTTACGGTCCTCATCTCTTACCTCGAATGTTTGAACGGGGATGCTCTTCACTTTGCGAAAAGATGGCTGAGCCGGTCCAGGCTGGGCGGTGGAGCTCATGTCCTGGAGAGCTTTGAGGGCCTGCAAGATACACAACACGGGGCCTTTACACCAACCTCCTCAATCCATCCCCCGGCTGTTGGGGTTCGCCAGCGGCAGGTGCGGATGGCTGAGGACTCGGAGAGCGAGGACTCGGATGAGGGGCCTGTGTGTGATGCAGGGACGGGGCCAGGACCACCAGGGAGTGGAGTGCGGCCTTTGGAGCTTGTGGGGGCTGGCAGCAATGAGGAAGAGGCCCCCGAGGAGCCCGTGCCCAGTGCAGGTGTACGCAGGGCTGCTCAAAGGAAAGAGCAGCTGCAGCAGCACGGGCGACTCGGGAGTAAGGCTGCAAGGTAAAGGCCCCCTCCCTGAAGAGATAAAAGCCAGCTGAGAAACCGGAGTTCTTTGCAGGAAGCAAAGATGTTTTTGCACTCAAGCCTTGTGGACGTTCGGATTCTCTTAGTTTGTGTTTGGAGACTCTTTGCGTTTGGAATATTTTCTGGCAGCTTTTCACCACCTTGGCGAGGCTCGTTCTTATGCTGGTGTTGCTGACAGAAACGGCCTCTCCGTTCACCCTTACTACATTCTTGGCAGGACTAGACTTCCTGTCTCAGGGACCTCTCTGGAGTTTCTTTCCCCTCCTTTGCTGGTACTTGGCTTGTGTGGAGTGACCATTCAAAGTTATAGTTGCACTGAAAAAAGTGACTTATGACCATTTTTCACACTTACGACCATTGCAGCATCCCCACAATCACGAGAAGCCAGGCGAGGAGATGCGTGCCTTGATGTGAGTGATATTGAGTTGGCCACGCCCAGGCAATAACATGACCACCAAGCCATGTCCACCCAGTCACATGACCACCAAGCCACGCCCACCACCTAAGCCACACCCACAGAACCGGTTGTTTAAAAAAAATGAATTTCACCCCTGGTCGTAAGTCACTATGTTCAGTTTCGTTGTTGTTTCAAAGGGACGCTAAACAAATACAGGACTACCTATATTAGGGAATTTAAGCTCCATGGATGGTACCAACCAGAGCAGGGGTCGGCGACTTGAAACACTCAAAGAGCCATTTCAACCCATTCCACACAGAAAAGAAAACACCAGGAGCCACAAAAACCCTTCCCGTGCTGGACTATTTCCTGAGCGGCCACAAAAGTATCCCGTGTAGTTGAATTAAATGTTCCGTTTTCTTCTCTTGGATCTATCCATGGTTGGCCTACTGGAGGTCGTAAAGCTCAATAAACGGCGTCCCGGCAGGTGTCACACACATTGGTGGTTGTGACACATATTTTGAGCATCAGGGAGTCGCAGCAGAGAGACACGTGAAAGAGCCCCATGCGGCGCCAGAGCTGTGGGTGTCAACTCATAAAATATTTCTCTGGTCTTTTGGAGTTGCCAACAGAAAGGGAGAGGGGGGAGCAGTGCAGCAGCTTGCAAATTGAAACTGCATTCCATCAATGTTTTCGAAGATAGTAACTAGGTGACTGAAGTTTCTGCCGTGCAAAATTCTAACTGATCCATGACTCTGGGCTATGGATGCATCCCATTGGAGAATATGAATTACGATACTTCCAGGGGGTGGGGGGGGGTGGGGGAAACCAGAGTCATGGGTGAATGGTGTGTCTCAGAGTCGGCTGCACCCAGGCAGTGCCGGACATGTTAACTCCCAATAAATCCTTTTTAAGTTTTGGAAGTTTGGCTCAAGACTCATGATCCAAATGGGGGTGACTACTGGAGCCCTGAGAGCGGGGTTGCTGACCCCTGGACGAGAGAAAGTTCTGAAGCCCTTGGCGAGCGGATCCTTCTGGGCTCCTTGGGCGACAGCATAGTTTGGGAGCCAGGAGAGCTTCCTGAAGAGACCCTTGGATGCTCCTCAGCCAAAGATAGATTAGGCTAGAAGAAGACTTACCTTCTTCTCAATATTGGAGAGGAAGTCCTTCAAGATGGACAGCTTCAGGACCAAGCTGTCCAACTCCTGCCCTTCTCCTGTCTGCCCGGCAGTCTGGAAGTAAACAAGATGGAGTTTTGAACAACCGAAGGTTTAAGATGGAGGCTTAGGGGCCCCTAGATAGTCCAAGGGTGCCAGAATCCAATTGGGCCCAAATATTCCAGGTCACCTTCTAAAGTCCCTCACCAACGACAGCTGAGAGGAATAGCGGAGTAACGGGGGATCTTATTGTCCAACCAAGGAAAGTGACTCCTGCCCAGGATTGTCTGCTGGAGGGGCGTGGATGGAATCAAGATGACTGACCCCCAACCCATACAGGTTCTTTGTCACTTTCATTTGGGGGGGTGGGGAGACCACAAGAATTAACAAAAAACAGCCTCCATCTCATTTGTTGATGGTTCCTGTAGCCTTTCCACCAACCAACAATGGAATAAACACAAAAAAAATACTAAGGACTCAACCCTGGTAGTAGAAGACTTCAAATAATCCTGACGCTGCTTATGAAAAACCCGCTGTTCGCCTCTTCCCTTCTACCAGGTAGACTCACCCCAAATCCATCCCCAGATAAAGCTACATTCTGAAGATCTATTTGGGCAGGGTCGCCTATGAAGACATCTCATGGAATCCCAGAATCCAGGGATGAAAGATCTGTTGGTGGTCTTCTAATCTACCCCCTTGGTAAGGCAAGGATCCTCAGATCACCCCATAAACTCCTGGCTGAACTTCAAGCGAAACTTCCAGAGGTGGAGCGTCCATACCTCCAGAAGACCAGCTGTTCTGTTGTTTCTTGGCTTACATCAGAGGTCTCCAAACTTGGCCACTTTTAAGGCTTGTGGACTTCAACTCCCAGAATTCTTCCTCCAAGTCATGTTAGCTCAGGAATTCTGGGAGTCGAAGTCCACAAGCCTTAAACTTGCCAAGTTTGAAGATCCTTGATCTC